TTTTTGATTTTTGGCCGTCTACGAACAAGCTGGACTTTTGTTGGGTAACATATAAAATACTAAATAAATCGAAAAAAATATACAGTCAATCATTGCGTTTTTTTGAAACATTTGCTGGTCCTTCAAACCGGATCGCCCGGCGTAAATATACTATAATAATATTTTACGAATTTTTGTGCGTTTTTTGGGTTTTTTTTTTGGTAAAATTGGCCGTACGGCTTACGAGTTTAACCTCCTGATACAATGAATCGCCTGATCCAGCAACGCGGCTTTTGCAAGGGGCAAATAACTCGTGCGCATGCAACTGTGGCTGAAGTGGTAGAAGCGAGTACGTCAGTGGAAACCTTGGAGTATCGCTTAGCTAAGCTGAATGCAAATTACGAGCGTATTATTGAGCTTAGCGAACACCTTTGCACATACAAGGATGAACCTGATTACATCGATCCGGCCACAGATGTGGTGGAGTATGAGGAGAAACACTTTTACACGCATTCTGTACTTTTTCAAGCGTTAAATCAGCTTCGAAAAGAAACAAAACCGTCTGCTGTTGATGTAACCGCTTCTGAAACATCAATAGAATGCCTTGTTTCCAGCCAAACTAAGTTTTTGGAAAAATTACGTGAGTCAAGTAGCCACACGGAATTACACCTGGAAAAAATAAAGATTCCTACGTTCTCGGGAAACTATGAAGATTGGCGGCAATTTTGCGACTTGGTTTTGGTCTCGATAGATAAGCGTGCGAATCTGACCAACTGTCAAAAGTTTCACTATCTGAAATCATACTTGGATGGTGAAGCATTGAATTTGGTCAAACATATTACCGTCACAGACGACAATTACAAGGAGGCGTGGGAGCGATTGGTGCAACGTTACGACAAGAAGCCGTTGATTGCCCGCTCATTTATAAGCAACTATCTAGCACTTCCTAGCGTAAGCGGATCGAGTGTCGCTGCGTTACGAAAATTGGTCGATGGGGCTGATGAGGCCATTCGCGGGTTGAGTGCGCTTAAATGCATCCAGCGTGACCCGTGGCTCATACATATTCTTCTAACGAAACTTGATACCGACACACGACAATTTTGGGCAGAAAGCAAAGTGTCTAGCAAAGAAGATGTTACTATT